ATGCCGCTTGACGTTGCCGCTTCGTGGCGGCATTTCGGCGGATGCTTGCCCGCCGGCCATGGTCCTCGGTGGCTCGTTGTCCGGCGCCCACCACCCGGAAAAGGTTGGGGACCACTGCTCTAGAATATCAGTAACACCACCCTTGTTGATAGTCAAGGAAGTTATGGGGGGCGGGAAGAGGGGGAGGGCACCTGGGAGGTGTGGTTTATAATATAACAACGTCTGTTCCCATAAGAGTCTAGATAAGGATCACTGAACCCAGCACTGAGATGCAGCCACCTTTGGGTGGTTTAATAGACACCCAGCTATACAACACACCAGTCTGGGGGTTGGGTTGGGGGAGGGAAAAAGGCTGCATCCAACCAAGCTATAGGAGGGCAGAATGGACTCACCAAAGCTGGAATCTGGTCTGAACACCAAGGCCAACCTGCCGTCTAAAGTGGGGTCTGATAGTTGATGCTATTGCTGGACTTGGCATTTGGGTCATTGTCTTTAAGCGGCACAGCGCCCCCTAGTGCCAGATTGGGGCCCTACTTGTATAACGACTCGGAGGGGCAAACGGTACAAACGAGAGTCTCTGCAGCACCTGGGTTTCCCACGGAGCTCACCCATCTGCGTGTCAAGCAGGCCAAGTTCAGCTCAGAGCTTCTGCTCTGAACCAGAACGAGCCCCCGGGGTTCAGGCTAGGGGAGCCCCCCCTTATCACAGCAGCTAAGTCTATGCCAGGTAGGAACAGCCTCCGTCCTGGATTCCAGCAGACAGCAGGGAACGTGGGAGAATGAATTGACTGGGCGCCTGTAGAAAGACAGCCCTGCCGCCCCAACCCCACCTCCTTCATATGGCTGTGGGAGCGGATACCCCCACAGGCCTCCTCTATGGAGACCCGACAGCATCCCGGTTAAGCTGCAGCTTCGTGCACGCGGTCCGAGGGAGCTGGCCCCCAGGCGCAGTAAGGGATCTTAATTCCCCATGGCAGGGCACTTTCTATGTCCCCCCCCGTCTCTGCCACACCAGCGCCGTTCGGGAGCCAGGCTGCTCCCCTCCAGGCAAAGCCTGTGCCCGTCTCTGCCCCTGCTAGGCCGCATTGCAGCTGGTGAGGTCTTTTCAACGCCTCCCCACCCTTTACGGACTTGCTTCCTGGTTGTGCTAAAAAGCGATGAGCTCATGTTGCTTTATATAGCTCTTCCATCAGCTCCTTCTCCATAGCAACGCGGCCTGGCGTGACAGCGCCTCACGGGCCTGGGATGTCAGGAGCCGGGCCCACCCCACCTCTGGCGCTGCCTCTGCGCCACCTCGCCACCAGCCAGGCCCCACGGGCACAGGGTCAGCGAGGAGCCGGACCCAGGGAAGGGAGCTTTCAAGATGCAGCGCCCAGGCCTCAGCCGTGGGGCTGATCGCCCAGCGGCCGGGCACTGCCTGGTACCACAGCGCCACCCTATGGACAAGTGGGGATATAGGGTTTCTTTTAGAAAAGAAAGAGGAATATGGCTGGGACCCAGCTGGGAAATCTGCCCAGGAAGGGCTGGGTTGAGGGGGAGGGAAGTATTTTAAGGTTAGGGACACCAAAAAGAGTAACAAATTTAATTAAAGGCACCACGCAAGGATTGTCAACTCCCACTGGCTTCAATGGCCCCAGGGATGGAATTAAATCCCCCCTCCTGCCCCCCCAGGGCCCGGGACCCAAGGCAAGCACTTCTGCAATACTGAAGCTTGGTGTCACTGGGGAATCTTGGCACCAGTGAGGGCTGGCGGGGGCCTTCTGTTGGCTCTCTGCATGGGGTGTGCATCACCCCAGGACTGCTGGCGCCCCACCGCCCCCCCAAGGCCCACCCCCTACCTACAGCTCTCCCCCTCCTTCCCAGATTTTGCCATGGCGCTGGCCTCCTCCGTCATCTGGGCATTCTGCTTGGGGCAGGGACCCCGGCTGTGTCTGGACCTGGACATGCCATGCTGCCTACAGGGGTGACGGTATTTCCTTAAGAGATTTCATAGGGTCTAAGGCCAGAAGGGACTGAGCTCCTGGATAACCCAGGTGTCAGATTTCGCCCGATCACGCCTGTGCTGGGCCCTAGAACTTGGGTTAGACCCAACCATTCCCCCGAAATTCCCAGCCAATCCAATCTGGGGGGGAAATCCGCTGTCCGCATGGAGTCTCCTAATCTTTCAAAGCTTTGATGCCGAGCCTGGTTTTTAGGACCTAGCCTGCCTTGCCTTTGATCTTCTAAGCATGGCCTCAAGATAAGGCAAACCGGAGTCAAACCTCCCCCAGCCTGGCCATCGGCTAGTGCTTTCTTGACCTCATGTGTGGGATGAACCGAGGGGCCAGTGCAGCTTCCCAAGGGATGAGGAGAAGGGGAGCTGGAGGTGGGACAGACATTGCTCCCCCTTCAGAGAGCAGCTGGGAAGTTTGGGGCTCTGGGGGGGGACTGAAAAATATGGAGAAAAATCAATTAAAAATTAACCTTAAAAACCCTCCTAAGAAACTACTGAAAACAATAAAAACAGAGAACAAGGGTAATAAATGGAAGAGCCAGTTTCTTTGCTGGTTCCTGCACTGGCTTCAAGAGAGCGCTGCTGATTCACACCAGCTAAGGAGCTGGCCCTAAATATAGACAAAAGAAGAAAAGTAACCATCTCCCAGCCTCGTCTCCCCTCTGCTTCCCAAACTGGGCTGCGAGGCACACGCTGCTGCTCCCTGGAAAACCAGCTGGGCTCCCAACTCTGCCGACTGAACAGGAAGAGTGGTTGGCAGGGTTTATTTGAAACTTCCTTCTCTCTCTGCATCAAACGCATCGGAGGAGGGGGGGAGACGCACGGGCTAGTGGTTCTGACTAGGGCTGTTGAGAAAATATTCCATAGTCTTTGTGGGGGGAATGGATCATTTTTCTGGTTTTGTTTAAGGAAAATAATTTTTTTAACACTTTTTTTTTCTGGTGATGATTTTTGCTTAAAGGGGGTAAAAAGGCCATTTTTTGTCAAAAATAAAAGTTTTCCGTCACTTCTGCTCCTCTAGCTCCAGCAGTGGGAATTCTGGGTCATCCTACACCTGCCCGGGTCATGGACTCCGAGGCACATCGAGCTCTCTCAGGAACTTCTATGGGCACCACTGCAACAGGATCTGAGAGCCTCTCAACCTTTAATGGGTTTATCCTCACAACCCCCTGGAAGGCAGGGCAGGGTATTATCCCCATTGTACAGATGGTGGAACTGAGGCACAGCGACACTAAGTGACTTGTCCAAGGCCACACGGGAAGGCTGTGGCGGAGCAAGGAATTGAACACAGGTTTCCTGAGTCCTCAGTACTGCACCATCTGCATCTACAATTTCCACGTGTCCTCTCCTTTCTGGTACCTATCCGGCAACACCTAGGGCCTAATTTTCAGGGTGCTGAAAATTGGGAGCTGCATCCAAGAGGAGAGGCCACTTTTGAAAATATAGGCCATGGCCTCTTTGCTCCTCAGCTTACCCAGCTGCAGAATGGGTAGAATGACCCTGACCGACTCCTCAGATATCACATGGGCTGAAGACTTTTACCAAACTGTCACTGTGGTGCAATGCCTGGAGGGTTACTCAAACTAATGATGATTCCACACATGCATGGAATATGCAACACACCTGGGAATTTTACAGATTTCCCCAGTGTGTCCTGGCAGGGCTGACTCCAGGGTTTTTGCTGCTCCAAGCGGCGGGAAAAAAAAGAAAAAAAGCCGCGATCGTGATCGGCGGCAGCTCCACCACACCGCTTTCTTCTTCGGCGGCAGGTCCTTCCCTCCGAGAGGGACTGACGGACCCGCCGCCGAAGAGCCCGACGTGCCGCCCCTTCCCCTTGGCTGCCCAAAGCACTTGCTTGCTGGGCTGGTGCCTAGAGCCGACCCTATGTCCTGGGGTTTCCCACACAATTTCAGCCTGGGATCTGAGAGTCAAACTAGGCCCTGTCCGACTCGTGTGTCACCACTGGTATTAAGCAGTCCCCACCTGGAACTCACCTAACCATTCTGTAGACGATACATGAGTCAGCAGAGAATCCAGCTCCCTGTCCCAGATCTGCATTGGCTAGGATAACCAGACAGCAAGTGTGAAAAATCGGGATGGGGGTGGGGGGTAATAGGTACCTATATAAGAAAAAGCCCCCAAAATCGGGACTGTCCCTATAAAATCGGGACATCTGATCACCCTAGCATTGGCTCTGCTGATCTGACTCAGAAGGTGCCCTGGTAACACAGCCATTCTTCTGCCTATACCCACGCTTTTGATTTTCACTTTCCTTTTCAATGGCTTCCATCAGCAAGATCACAACACGTCACTGTCCTGACAGACCATCCCACAGCGTCACTACACAGCCTCTTCAAGCAAGATCTACAGTTCCATGGCTTCCCCTAGGCTAGCGTACATGCAGAGCTGGCTGTCAGGAAAACCAGCTTTTTACTTTGAAACTGAGCCCATTTGATATGAACGTTACTGGGGAACAAACACGGAGCGCCACAAGGCCGTTGCGGTGGCACACAATTGCACTGTACAGATACTATGTAAATAGAAAGGCATTATAACAAAAATCCGTAGACATTTAGGAACTTCACGGCAGTCCCTCTGCTGCACAGCGCGGCCATTCAGACCTTCCCAGCCACAGCAGGGACACAACTCAGATCTTCCTGCTCCAAAAGCCCGTAGCATTTGAGCTACAGGGAAATCTCCATTAGCTCTCAGCCGTATAGGGCCTAGGACACACACACCGCTAAGCAGTTGTGATACTAACCAGTAGCGGGCAGTGATGGCATATACCCAGCAGACAGTTCATTACGGCATTCTAGGACTCTCCTAATGCTATTGTGAGAACTTAGATCCCAGTGCTGGAAACGAAAAGGTGGCTCACGGACACACTGCTCAGGCGCAGGAAGCGCTCCTGCAATGAGCGACCCTGGTTCTCCCAGCTTTGCACACACCCGGTACGAAGCATCTCTGCCCATCGGGATGAAGGAGGGAACAACGTGACGGTGGCTTACCTGTCAGAAGAGCTTGTTTGAGCTCAGGGTTACTGAAGGAGCCGGGAGGGGCTCGGTAAAGAGCCTCATTGTCGATGCCTTTGAAACCGAAAGGAAAAAAAGAAATCAGTCAAGAATTCTCCCTCCAAAGCACCAGGCAAACAAACCATGCTTTAACTCAGATCTGCTCAAAAGGCCCGACGCTCAGATGGGGTCAGCATTAGAGCGCCAGGGTCATCTTGTTTTGGGGTCTCTGTTTTGCTATCAACAGCCTGCAACCTTAGGTGTGTGTTGTGTGTGAGAGCGTATGAGTGAACAGTGCCCTCTACTGGATGGAATCAGAACTACACCACCATGTGTCAGAGTTGGGTGAATACTAGGGCCTGGTCCACACTAACCCCCCACTTCGAACTAAGATACGCAACTTCCGCTACGTGAATAATGTAGCTGAAGTCGAAGTATCTTAGTTCGAACTTACCGCGGGTCCAGACGCGGCAGGCAGGCTCCCCCGTTGATGCCGCGTACTCCTCTCGCCGAGCAGGAGTACCGGCGTCGACGGCGAGCACTTCCGGGATCGATTTATCGCGTCTAAACAAGACGCGATAAATCGAACCCAGAAGATCGATTGCTTACCGCCGGACCCGAGGTAAGTATAGACGCACCCACAGGCCCCGTCCACACCAGGGACCAAAATCTAGATTTACACCAGTGCGCCTCCACTGACTTCAGTGGAGCTATTTCAGATCTATGCCAGAGCGAGAGCAGGATTTAACTCCACTTTTAAACGAGGCAACAGCCTGACAGTGACACAGACGGCAACCGTCCCGAGCACCATTCTGGAATCTGCAGCAACCAGCACAAGCCATGCTATGGAATCTCGAGGCTGGATTACCTATGGCGTAGCATTAGCTAAAGTGAAACCAACCAATGTTTCTGACTGTCCATCATGCCGCGTCAGCAGGAAAGGAGTGTGCATATGACACATGGAATACGCACGCCCAATGCATGTATTTGTCCCAACTGGAAGAAATGTATGGAGGTGGCCAAGGAAACGCACGCCTGAAGTACCTTGTTTTTCCAAAGCTTCAATGAGTCTCATTACAATCAGAGGTGCTTGTTCGGGGAGCCTTAACTCCGCAACCTCGGCCTGCCCAGCGGGTCCTGTGAGAGAGACAAATAAAGATGATTTAGCAGAGTGGATCTCAGTGCTTGTCAACAAGGCAATTTGGCTGGACGGCAGCTGTGGCGCAGTTAAATAGCATATTCAATCTCTCTGATGGGCCAGTGCCTGGAAAGTAGGGGGTGATAATGAGCCAAGCATATAATTTGCAAAGAATCATTTATTAGCTGGATTTCTCCTCTTTCCCACTTTGCTAATTGTGCGCAAACAAACAACAGATTGTCTCAGATTCATCATTTGAAGCCATTCTCCAGGGACTGGCTCCAGTTAATTCCAGGGTCATTATTCAAACATGCAAGCTGTTGTGGTTGGGCACGCGGGTCACGTGGTCTCGGTCTGTTTCATGATTGGATGGCCCTAACTCACGGGATCAGGTTTCCAGCGGCACTGCTGGTCCTGGGGAATTTGAATTTGCTCTCTGAGAGCAGCTCCCAGGCATCTCCTAAGAGTCCCATTCTAACCACAGGACAGGGACACAGTCACAGTATGCGCCGAGCGAACACAGGCACTGTCTACACTACAGAGACCGCGTCAGCATAGCTATGCATAGCTCCACTGGAACCACAGCGTACGCCGACAGGAGTTTTCCTGACGGAGGAGAAACGCCACCTCCCCGAACAACGTTAGCTCTGCCAACAGAAGAACTCTTCTGTTGGCGCAGCTGTGTCTACCGTTTGGGGTGTCTGTTTTTTCACACCCCTGATGGACACAGCCATGCTGGGATCTGTTTTAAGGACAGCCCAAGCCACAACCAAAACAAATTCCTTTGAATTCCCTAGCCTCTGTTAGCCAGAAGCTGGGAATGGGCGACGGGATGGATCAATTGATGATTCCCTGTTCTGTTCATTCCCTGTGGGGCATCTGGCACTGGCCACTGTCGGAAGGCAGGATACTGGGCTAGATGGACCTTTGGTCTGACCCAGTATGACCATTCTTATGTTCTAACAAATGTTAATGGACGATTTTCCCCAGCAACCGCCCAAGTGCTAGCAATAACTTTGGTTTCCCATTCGGGTAAGGACTCTTTCCCACTTGCTCAAACTGTACTTAGAGCAGCCAGGATGACTGCTGTTTTGACGGCACGTGATGGGCCCTGAATATTAATGTATTATTTCCTCTGCCCTCCCCCACAGCAACTTCAAAATCGGAATTAAACGGACATAGGCCAGCAGCAGGGCACCTCCCCCTCCATTCATGGGAACGGAAGGCTTGCCCCCCTCACGCACGCTACTTACACCTTGGTACCAATGCCAATTTCCCAGCAGCCATGCTGGAGCTGTGGTATTGCGAACGTTCCTCACCGCCACCGGGCCTGCAGGCTGGTTCTAGCTTTGCCTTGGGGTCTGTTTGTTTATATTTGTTATGGGGGGGGCCTCTCACCCTAAAATCTGCATGATGCCTGCACCTGGTCATTGGGTGCACTGCGTAGGCCCCTGGTTTGTCGCTCTACTTTGCTTGCGAGCTCCTTTTTACAGGGAACGTGTCTTCTCCTAGATGTTCTGCCAAGTGCACCCCCCGCGCCCAATGCAGGAAAGAAGAACTATGGGCCAGTCCTCAACTGGAATGATTCAGCTAAGCTGCATCGACTCGGTGAGAGCCGTTTATTCCTTGTGAGCAAGCCACCTGTTGTGCCGGTGCGTGGTTATGGTTTGCAACGAGGCACCAGTTAATAATGAGCAAGGCAGGGCTGTAGGGGTTAGTTCTGAGGATTTGGTTGGTGGCGTTCTTCTCCCTGAATGAATCCCCCGGCGCGGTGTTTGGGAGTGTCACATGTTTCACTTTCCAGGCAGGATGTGTAATTAAGCTTCGCTAAGTACTCTCCGCATTAGAGACCCCTTGACATGTCTCCAGAGAGCCAGGGGTTTCAGCCCAACAGGGTTCCTGTGTTCTGACTCTCCACGATCCTCCAGGCCATGGCTATGTAATTAGCTACGGGGGAGAGTCTTCTTCCCCTCCGATTTTACACTGTTTTTCCATTTTCAAAGCACAACCCCAAAGTTCTAGGCACCATGACAGCAATTGCACTAGCAATCAGTTCAGTATCACCCACCAGTCTGACAGGAGAGGCTGTACATGGACCAGCCAACTCCACTACATTCCACCCAAAGCCCCATCATATTCAGCCCTATAGTATCACAAGGTCTGCCAATCCACCCCTCACCCCCCCGATCTATTGGTCGCAGAGAGTCACACATTTCAAAGTCAGTAGGGAGCACTATGATCATCCAATCCGACCCCCTGCTTCATATAGGCCGAAGGGGGGAGGGGGATTGTTCCCTGAGATTTTTACACACACACACACACACACACACACACACACACACACACACACACACCACCACGAG